TTTAGTGACCGAGTCAACTTACTTATAGAAATCAAATTAAAGGGACATCCAAGAACTAGTAAAACAGATTTTAATGGTAGTGATGGGAGAGGTGTTATTTGACCAATACCAGTGGCTTGGACTTTTGACCCATATGCAAGAGTGATATGGTGTGGAGTTTTAGGTGACGATAGGTTAGGAAAAAGGGAGACATTACCAGTTAGGTGATCAGAAGCACCGGAGTCCAAAACCCAAGGTCCAATAGACGTAGAATGAGAGAGATAGGCTGTAGAATTACCAGTATGAGCAACAGTTATGGAAGAAGAGGCTTGTTTAGTTGCCTTCAATTGAAGATATTCTTGGTAATCCTCGGTAGATAATGTGATTGGATGATTGCCCTCCGGTTCAATCTTGAGCTCTGGAGCTGAAGTTGGAGATTGAGCCACATTAGCTGTCTTGCTCGGAAAGCCATGCAAGGAATAACACCTATCTCGTGTATGTCCATCTCTCTGACAGTAGGTACAATGGAGGTTTCCTCTACCCCCTTTACCGCGACCACGACCTCGACCACGCCCTCGACTTCCACGGTCAGCTGTACTAGAGATAAAAGCAGAGGACTCAGATTCTGTGTGAGGATCTGCCTCTGGTGAAGGGACCCGAATCAGTCGATCTATGAGTTCTTCTACTGTAGGAATGACAGGATTTGTCAAGATTTGATCTCGAACAGATCCGTAATCTTTGTGGAGTCCTTGAAGGATAAACACCATAAACATATTATCAAGTTTGTTTAATATTTGTTGAGGATCATCACTAACCAACATTAGCTTGAGCTCATCAATAGTGGATTGAGCACGATTCAAATACGTTGGCAAATCATTATCAACCATACGAAGAGTTGCCAGACCATGAACAGACTCGTATATTCTTTGGATATCATTGGCATAGACATTTCGAGCCTTCTTCCAAATATCATAGCATGTCTTGTACGGACGAAAATGCACCATTAATTTAGGCTCAATGGACTGCCACAATAGAGATACAAGTTGATAATCTGTCCGTTGCCATTCATCTCTCACCTCTTTATCAACTTCGGACGCCCTTTTAGTAAGATGATCATAGAGACCCTAACCTAAAAACCACATTTCAACCGCAGTGGACCAATCCAAATAATTTTTACCATTAAGCTTTTCGGATGTAATAGTAGGTGATCCAGAAAAGGCAAAGGAGACCAGCCCCCATTTGGAAGATTCAATTTTTGGGTTCTCTGCCATGAAGAGAAAAAGAAGAAAAACAGCAAACAACCAACCACGAAACCAAACAGCCACGGAACTCTGAGACAACAACCAAACAACACCAAACGACCACGAAACTCCGAGGCCGCAACCAAACGACCACCAACATACCACCTAGAGTGTGACCCACAACCTGAAAAGGGTCAAAACGAGAAGAGGGAGGGACGACGAGTCCAACGGAGTGAACCGCGTCGCAAACGGAGGCTGGTAGGGCGGCGCGTGAAGCCCACGCGCCGGCGAGCTTCCTCAACAAGAACCGCGCGTGAGAGCGCGTGAGACGGCGGCTGACGGTGGCTCTCGACGGAGAGGCCGATCGGTGACCTCTGAGTGTGCAAGCGGTGTCAACTCCGGCAACCGCGAACAAAACTCGAAAACCCTAGATGTTGGCGGCTCGCGACAGAGAGGCCGATCGGCAACCTCTGAGTGTGCAGGCGGTGTCAACTCCGACAACTGCGGAAAAAACTCGAAAACCCTAGAAACCCTAGATGTTGGCGGCTGGATTAGGGTTCCTGGACCAGAGTGCTCTGGTACCAACTTGAATAATTTCTTATTATTGAATCTGAATAGGTACAATAAAATAAATAGGCATAAAACATAATCAATCCCTAAAGTTTTGAGATTTAGATAAAACTGACTAAGGAAACTAAACTAGAAATTAGGAGAAGATAAACCAGTATATCTAAACTATATCTTATAGAATTATCTTAACAATATCAAAATTCCTTCACCCCTGCATCTTATCTCAAATATATCTCAACCTGTTTTCCCAGGGTCAGAGCTATGGGGGGACTGGGGCTGTCCCCCAAAATTTGTAGCCCCCTTTGAAACTTCTATATAAAAATATTTTATGATCCCCTAAGAAAAAGAAAAAAAAAATTGAAATTTTAGTATTGATTCCTTTTAAAATGATATCCTGCCTCCGCAACAGTGTTTTCCATTACATGTAGTGGTGCACATTCATTAGGCTGGTTTTTAGTGTTGTACAACTTCAATTGCTTAAGTTTTGTGGAAAAAATATTTCATAGAGTTAGTTGAAACATAAAGTATACATTTTCAAACTTGCATGTCACTGCTATGGGGTCTAGGGAAGCTTAAATGTATACAACATTACCCCTATGAGTAGTGAGGCCATTTCAACAACTAGAACCTATAACAGCTAAGTTACTTGGCAGTAATCTTAATAATATAAAAAAAAATGTAGGTCAATGTATGAATCAAAGGAATAGGAAATCTATTAAAAGATGAAAAGAAAGCAGGTCTCTCACCAATATAGATGACAGTTATAAAATTGCACCAGCTTCCAACCACAGCACCAGCAAACAAACTTCCTACCACCTGGAGAAGTTTTGACCATTGATCACAATTTGCATGTAAATAATTCATGTAACTTTTCTTTTCAACATGTTGAAGTAAATTCATAAGGTACATAAATTTGTTAAAAGCAAGTTCAAATGGTATAGCAGAGAAATTTGGATTTTTTGTAGTCAGTTTTTCATGTTACGCATTCAGCAAATTAGAATTATTGGATAAACATAGGACAGCTCAAATCTCAAATGCATGTTTCAAGTCCAATTTGCCAGGAATAAAATATGAGCAATTTGATCTTCATTCAATGGTTCCAGTTTAATTTTCTGATTGCATAAATGCATGAAAAAAAATTGATTGCAGAAAATTTGGATCCAAACAAGATACACCAAAACAAGAAAAATAACAAATCCATTTATTTACTCGTCAAAATTCCAATCTGTTTTTCCCAAATTCAGTGTATTACCATCCTTGTTGTTTTCAGTTTATTCCCCTCCCACACTCCCTACATGGTTCCAACTCTACGTTCTCCTAGCAAAATAATGTTCACATCTCTGGTGGCAACAATGTAAGTAACATTATGAGGCATTACCACAGAACACACAATTATAGACAGCTTAAGAGAAATGACTTTCACACACTACTTTTGCACAAGGTTTAGTTTACTTGAATGTACGTACAACATCAAGCAACTTTTTCTTAATGGTGTCTGTTAATTAGAGTTCTTGTTAATTCTAAATGTATTTCTATAGCAATAATTTCATATATCCTGCCTTGAAATTTCATGCCTTAAAATAGGGCGAAACTACAATGGAAAGTCTTAACAAAATTTAGTTCCCAGGATTTACTAAAACAATCTTAACTTGACTCCAAAGTGGCTTCTATTTTGCTGATGTGGCATGTGATGGACCATTGATTTAAAAAAAACAAATTTGGTGACAGACTATGGAATATAATGTTATAATGGAATCACATAGCATTTCATCAAGTGTAGTCAATATTGGGTCAATATTGGGTCAATATAGCCTACCCAATAAGAAAAGATCAAACTAGTATTTGCCACGACAACTATAAATAAACTAACTTTTTCCAACGATAACTATAATTGAAGTAACTATTAAAAAAAGTATAAAGAAATCTTCAAAAATAAAAGGAAGTAATTGAAAAATAAGCAGAGGCAAACACAGGTGTCAGAAACTAAAGAATGGTTTCACCTTGAAAAACATGTTTTAGGCTTGACTTTAAATGATAAATGACAATATCAAGGTAAATCAATAAAAACACAAACATACAATAAGAAACTGCTTCAAGTTTCCTCCACAAGCAACATCTTGAAGAAACCTCAAGCCCTTGTTAACTTCACCACCAACTACAGTTGCAATATTCACAAAGAGTTCTTCTGGGAGAACAAGGCGGGGTACATTAGATGGTGTGCTGTCAATTTAAAGAACAAATCATACTTAATTAAAGCTGTAGTGTTGAGTAACACATCCACATAAATTAGAGGAGAAAAGGATGCAAAGATGCATTAAATAACCTGTTAAACATGCCAGAAGCATTTGACCATAGAAACTGGGCAAGCATGACAAGAACCAAAACAAAGCCTAAAATAGTAAGGAAATTATAATTAAGCCATTCAAAGAGCACCCATACAACTGTTGCACCAGTTAAAACACTTGCAGAAATCTTCTTGTTCCTCCATAACAAGACATCAGCAGCTACAACATTCAAGGGCACAAAAAAATGATTTAAATGGTTTAGTTGATGCTAATACTGTACATTTTACAATAAATTGACTATAAACGCCATACATTTTCCACCCCCTAAAATATGGTGCACGGGTTTCTGGCGTCCAAACAGTCTATTGATCTCTGAACTCACTGAGTCTGACTTTTCACCCCCAAAGAATGGTACAGATTTTTGCTTGTCAACGAATGTGTCCACAAGGCTTTCAATAAGGTTCTCAGCTGTGATTTTCTCAGACATTGTTCCAGTGCTAGTGTGCTACAATGAACCAAAAAGAACATTATTAAAGACTGTACAAGATAGCTCTTCTCATACCAAGTATAAGTCTGTCATTATTAATATATAGGAGAAAACCAACAAATAATGTATAGGGTTCATTCTTTTCTGACATAAGAAGTGACCATATTGTTAATTTCAAATTAAAAGTTCACAAATTAATGCTATTGTTACAAACATCCAACACAGAATTCTTGTAGGTCACAGAGGAAACATATCTAACAAATAATTAATTTAATCTCTCTGCATTTAAAATCACCAAGTTTGCCACATTGACGGCATATCAAGTCATTTGGTGAGTGTTAGGCTCAGTTTGTAATCATTATGGATCTTAACTTTATACTGTCTCCAGTAGATGATTGAATTTCTCAGGTAATTCCTTTTCTTCACCTTTTCCTTTTTCATTTTTGTTAGAGATAGAAGTTATTTGGATTGATTTGGTTCTGCACATGATATCAAATCCTATTTGACTAAGTAGTTGGTCAGTATTTCAATCTTGAGTTCCATTCTGCAATTCAAAGCTTAGATTCCTCGAAGCCCTTCAAAGCCTGTACCTCCTTTTGTCTTCACTACACTTCTTTAACAATTCCTCAAGATTAATTTTTTATTTTCAACTGAACCTTCCACATAGAAAAAGTTAGAAGGGTTGAAAAATATCAAAATTAATAAATCAGTTTCTTGGTCCAATCTGATTCAATCTCTGGTTAATTCATTACCAAGGAGAGCAAGCTGACCTTAGATGCTCTTTATAAATGTTGCATAACCATTATTCCAAGTTGTCCACCATATAAAAAGGGGCAGATAATATCATTAATAAAATGCACCAACAATCATTACCCAAAAAAATGTATTAACAATCATATAGAAAGAAAATAAAATGGATGAAATAAGAAGGCAAATGGCAAGGTTATAGCTTCAGCCAGGTTTCTCAACTTAAAAGTTGGCCAACTAGAAGAAACACAGTTGTCTGTGTCATTTGAAGAGACAACCAAGGGGCTCCCAAAGTTGCAAAAACAATGAAGTTTCCAAGTACCAGTATTCAGTAGAAGGTCTTCATATAAGAATTGGTTCTAAATGAATAGGACTACTTTTAACAGGTTTTCCCTGATGCATTGATCTCCTTGTCACTTTCCCTCCCTACTTCACAATTGAGGCAGGGAATGGACCAAATGGTCAAAAGCATAAGAGGTAATTGCAAAGAAAAAGCAAGTTTAAATTACTTGGGCACTACAAAGAACAAAAAAAGGCAACAACCTAATCAGTTAACCGTAAAACCTTGATAGCCTCAATATACTATTTGCCAGCAAGATTCTGAAACTACAAAACCTATTAAGGAAAATCAATTACCCAAAGGGAATAAAAATTATAACCAAACTACTGAAAGAATAAATAAACTCGTTTCCATATATACATATATGGCCAGAAAAGTATCACGAGTAAAAGAAAGAAAATTCTCAAAGAATTATAATCGGTGAGGCAAAAAGGAAAAGGGAAACCATAGATTTCTTTTCTTTTTTTTAATTCACAAATCTCAAGAGCTTATGACATATATTATAACATAGATAAAAAAGTAAAAAGGAAATAAACTTTTATGCCCCCATCATTCACTAACAAATAAAAGATTCCCTCCCTAGAGGAACAAAAACCACCACACAAAATTTAACCCACCAAGCCTAAGAGAGATACACAACAACTGTAACAATTGATGAAAGAAAGAACAAAATTCAGTATCATAAGCAAATGAAATTCATCAAATTACCAGAGAGAGAGGCAGAGAAGGAAATAGAGAGATGGGGTGCTATGGCATGAAAAGTTTATCCCAAGTACAACACAGGGAGCATGCAAAAGCTGAATAACTTAACTGATCAACTAGTCAACTACCAACCAGCCATGAGGCAACTACCATATCATCTGTCTCTCATCTTATGTAATTAATTAAAAGCGTTGGAGACTTTTGTTCAAGAGAAAGTGTTTAATAAATAACGTGTTTGAATGTATTTTTGGTCTTTCTGGATTCTAGACAGTGGTCCCTGTACTTTTTTTTATTTATTATTTATTATTTATTTTTATTTTTCATTTTTCATCTCATTCATATTTGAAATCAATGTTTTTAATTACATATTTATTGGTGTTACTTGGAGTAGTTTTCACTTTATATTAAAAAAATATACATATTAAGAGTAAATATTAATTTTACTCCCTTAACACGTTATTATATTGATTCTTGAAATTAAAAAAGTACTCGAATAAATTTGTAAAATGATAGATAAGTTTTTAAATTTAACTATTTATGTTTTGTTTAAAAGAAATTATAAATAACTTATTTGTATTTATTTTATTTTATAAATATTTAAGAAAGTGTTTAGATATTTTTTTTTGATAAAAATAAAATTTTATTCAATAAATAGAGATTCTTTTAATCACTAGACATGTTTAAAAGAGTGTTTAGATATACTTATAAAACATTTTATGAGTTACTCATTAGATGGTTTGAACTTATTTTAATAAATAATCTAATATAATTTTATAACTTCATGTAGAAACTTAATGATAAATACCTAGATTTAGATCTTGTCATCGACTTATATAATTTTTATTTTTTTATTCTTTCACTAAAAAATAGTATATTTAGAATAATTTTGTTGTTGATATTTATACAATAACTTTTTAATCATTTTAAATAAAAAAGAGATAAATTGAATGAGTGGTTGATTAAAAAAGATGAACAATTATTTCATTCATTTTTCTTAACAAATATTACAACTAGAGACCAAAAGCAGTTATTTAGTGTGTATTTTCTTTATAATAGGTATAGATAAAATTAATTTCTAATATTTTATTATTAATTTTATTTTTTATAAACTAAAATTAGGTGAATAGTGACTTATACTCTTTTATCACTTTTAAAATTAGATAACTTCTATGAGTACTTAAAGAATAATACATCCAAATATTTTAAAATTGTATAAGTATTTATTAAGATGTATATCTAAATACAACAACTTACTGAATTTTATATATAACATGAGTTCTTATTACATAAGAGTTTATTATATAAAATTTTAAATAAGATGTTTGTTGAAACAAATCCTTAGTGTCATTTTGATCTTATCTATATAAGATTGTTAATTTGATCTTAATCATACAATATTTTTTGACTTTTGGATTAATATGATTGTTAATTTGATATTAATCATACAATACTTTTTTACTTTTGGATTAATATGATTGTTAATTTGCACTTTTAGAAATTTACTTTACAAATTTCTTAGTTCGTAAGACTAATATGATAATGTTTTTTAAATTCAAGGACCAATTCAGATGTTTACTTAAATATTAACAACATGGACAAAACTAATAATTTTATGGATTAAATATGTTTTTATCCTCTAAAAATTGACTAAATTTGATTTTAGTCTCTCAAAAAAGATATCTTCATTTTAGTCTTTCAAGTTCAAGGACCAATTCAGATGTTTACTTAAATATTAACAACATGGACAAAACTAATAATTTTATGGATTAAATATGTTTATGATCCTCTAAAAATTGACTATATTTGGTTTTAGTCTCTCAAAAAAGATATCTTCATTTAGTCTTTCAAGTTTATATAATACTCATTTTAAATCCTTTTTTAAACATCGCTAACGTTTTTTTATTAAAATAAGTTACTTCAATACTCAAATCACCATTAGTTTTACTGACATGAAACTTTTTTAATTTAAAATATAAATTATTTTATGATAAAGTTAAGATTTATGGTAAAAAATAATTTTATACTTACAATTTTTACTATTCATTCTTAAACTCAGGCATGAAAGTTACTATAAGTGCTCTATTTTACTTTTTATTTCTCTATTTTGCTTTCACCCTCAAAGAAGGAAGTCCAAAGCCTCTTGTTTATGAAAGACAGCACCTTGAAGCTTGGGGAAAGAGAAGAATAAGTGTTGTTTAAAGTAATTAGCACGTTGAGATTTAGGGTTAAATTAACAATGTCATTGAAAATTAGAAATTTAAAGTTTAGAGGGTTGTTGATCGATGAAATCATAAAACGTAACGCTTATGAACATGATGATGATAGTGGAGAGAAAAAAACACATTGCTTTGAATTTGTGAGAATATTTTATTACAATTTGGTCAGAGAGTATTTGTTCAAGTAAAAAAAAATGAATTACACAAACTTCCATACTTACCTATGTTTGAGAGTGAATAGTAAATAGTGAAAAATTTTAAATGTAAAATTAATTTTTATCCTAAAACTTAACTTAACCTTAAAATAATTCATATTTTAAATTAAAAAAAAAATCATGTCAATAAAATTTATGGTACGCAGTGACCTATTTTAACAAAAAAAGTTAATAATATTTAAAAAAGGATTAAAAATAAGTATTATATAAATTTGAAGGACTAAAATTAAGATATTTTTTAGAGACAAAAAAAATAATGTCAATTTTTGGAGAACTAAAAGCATATTTAATCCTAATTTTATATTTATTTTGAAATAAAAATTTTAAAAACTTTTATTTATCTCTATATATTAAATATACATGATTATCTTCTGTAAGATTAATTTTAAAAGTTTCTATTTGACAATAACATTTTTAGGGAGTGTTTGCAAAAGTCTCTTTTAAAGGTGGTATTTTTATTTTTATTTTTTTCCTTCTGAGTGAGTTTTTAGATATTGTTTTAGCCACTTATCTATTTTAATTTTTATTTATTATATAAATTTGGAGAACTAAAATCAAGATTTTTTTAGAGGTTAAAACAAAATAATGTAATTTTTAGAGAACTAAAAACATATTTAATCCTAATTTTATATTTATTTTAAAATAAAAATTTTAAAAACTTTTATTTATCTCTATATATTAAATATAAATGATTATTTTCTGTAAGAGTAATTTTAAAAGTTTCTATTTGACAATAACATTTTTAGGGATTGTTTGCAAAAGTCTCTTTTAAAGGTGGTATTTTTATTTTTATTTTCCTTTTGAGTGAGTTTTTAGATATTGTTTTAGCCACTTATCTATTTTAATTTTTATTTATTATATTTATTTCTAAATTAATTTTTAATATTTTAAAATAAATTATCAATAATTAAAAATAATATTATATCACTATTATAAAATATTCCCATGTTTTTTTTAAAAAGAAAACTTGCTTGAGCTAATATTACTTTCTTTCGCAATTTCTCATGGTTGTCTCCACTTTTTCTAAAAGAAAAATAATAAGAAATAAAAATAAAAAGTTACAAAATAGTGAATAGTGAATAGTTTATAATAGGAAAGTGAGTAATTTAAACTAGTTGTGGGGATAAAAATATCATAAAAAAATGAACCCTTAACGATAGTATCAGTTTAGACAAATCTATATTTTCTTGAAATTCATAAAATTCTTTAAAATCTTATAATACAGATCATCAAAATTCTTTAAAATATGAATTACAAAATTTTGATTAAAGTTCAAGTTAAAAAAATTATTTTTTTTAAATTGATGTTAAAATTATTTTTCAAAATTATAATATAAAAAACTCTTCTAAAATATAATTTATGTTTAAAATACTTATTTATATAAATTTCAAATATAATTTATTTGTATATAGAACTTATTATTAAAGTATTTAAATATTATAAATAGTTAAGTTGTGCAATCGATAAGGATTAAAATAAAAACTCACATAAGTTATAAGAAATCAAAAATCTAAATAAAATATAGGGGAAAAACTGTTTAAAATTCCAAATAATTTAGTCAAAATAAGTTTTCTCCCTATATTTTAAAAAAGTAGTTTTGACCTTCTCTTATTTAAGTGTGATACATTCCATTGCTATCCTTATATTTCATTTTGATTTGATTCAAAATTACAAAGAATAAAACTATTGTTTTGAAATCGTAGAAACTAAAAAATTAAATTTCAACTAATCTTGACGGACATAAATACATTTGATCATAAAATCTACAATAATAATAATAAAAAAGAATAAAAACATATGATTAGCAAACCCTTATCACGTATGTTACTTACGAATAAAGAAACATCGTGTAAACTTGTCTAACAAAACACTCTTAGTTTGAATGAGTGCAATGGTTTGTCTTTTGCACCTTTTTCTAGAAGCTTGTAAAATCTAAGATTATCTTTAAATTAGCTCTTGGACCATTTTGAAAAAGTTTTTCGAGGTGAAGGCTTGATCAGTGTAATTGTGTTACGATAATATTATTGAAAAAGATAGAAAAAGGATGTAATAAAAAATCGTGTAAGTCAACATAGACCGCAGAAGCAGCAGTATGTAAAGAGCCATTGGGTTGGCTTGCTAAAGAATAAAATTGACATCTAAGTTTGATAAATTACTTAACTCCTGAGATTTGTGGTCGTACTTAGGATGACAAAATATACTCATGTAGAGAAAAAAAAAACGATATTAGAAAAGGAGAAAGCTAAATAGTGTCAATAAAAAATTTAACATAAAATAATGAAGTAATATCTTAAATTATAAGAGTGCAGATAAAGAGATAAAAATAAAGAACACATAAATATTAGTTTATCTTAATCATTGAGATTATATTCAAATGTTAATCAATTCGATCAAGTTTCATTGTCTTTGCAAAGATACTAGTATTCTTTCATCAGTCATTTCTGGTTTAATTTAAATATTTTTTGACTTGTCTTTTTAAACAACTACATATGTATTCTTTGAATAACAAAACCTCTCCAAGAATATTTTTTTTATTACAATGTCTCTTCGGATTTTAAGCTATAACACAAAGTTAAAATTGGATAGAACAGTTATTTGATCTTACTCATAATACAAAACAACAATTAAGTACATGGCTTTTTACACATAATGAATTTTTAGAAAG